AGCACATTAATTCCTGTGCAGAGTCTAACTGGTGATGGTAGCTATTAATCCATTATAGAAAAGAAAGAAAAGCCCCACAGACAAGAGACAAAGCTCTGATATTAACCAGTAAGTGTCTAACACAACAAGTGAACACCTACACAACCTAGAAGAAGCAACAATCTCTTCAAATGCCCAGGCATCTATGTAAAGACAAAAAGATCAAAGAAGGACAGAGAAATATGTCTCCACCAAAGGAAACAAGCAAATCAGCAGCATTGGACCCAGAGGAAATGCAGATCTATAAAATGTCTGATAGAGAATTCAGAATAACCCTCTTAAGGATGTTCAGGCAATCACAAGAAAATACAGATAAAAAATTAAATGATACCTGGGAAACAATTCAGGAGCAGAATGAGAAATTTGACAAAGGAATAGAATCAGTTTTTTAAAAAACAAGTAGAAATTCTAGAAATAAAGAATACATCATCTGGGATTGGCTGATTAGCTAGCTTGGTAAAGCATAGTGCTGACAACACCAAGGTCATGGGTTCAGATCCTTGTTCCTGCCAACTGCCAAGAAAAAAAAAAAAAAAAGAATACATTATCTGAATTGAAAATAGAGGAAAGAATAATTGCCGGTCCCCGGTCCAGTACGGGGGCAACACTGAGGGTTGCGATCTGTTGCCGGACATGGAAAAAGAAAAAAAAAAAAAAAAAGAATACATTATCTGAATTGAAAATAGAGGAAAGAATAAGTGAGTTCAAAGATAGAACACACAAAATTATCCAGTCAGAGTAGCAAAACCAAAAAAGAATAAGAAAAAAATGAAACAGAAATACAGCAAATATGGGGCTCCCTCAAGCAAAATATCTGCATAATTGGCATACCTAAAGGAAAAGAAAAAGGAAGAAACTTAGAAAGCATATGCAAGGAAATAATGACTGAAAATTTCCAAGTATGGAGAAAGGTGACAGCATCCAGGTACAGAAAGGTCAGAATTTGCCAAATTCAATCCAAAGAGAAACACCCTAAGACATGCCAAATCAAATTATTAAAAACCAAAGACGAAGAGAGAACACTGAAAGTAGCAAGAGAAAAGAAACACATAGCATTCAATGGAGCTCCAATATGTCTTTCAGCAGATTTCTCAGTAGAAACCGTACAGGCCAGAAGAGAATGGAATAGTACATTCAAAGTGCTGAAGGAAAAAGACTGTCAGTCAAGAATTCTGTATCTAGCAAAGCTAGCCTTCAAATATGAAGGAGAGATAAAGGCTTTCCTAGACAAACAAAAGCTAAGGGAATTTCCAAAGAGAAACACCCTAAGACATGCCAAATCAAATTATTAAAAACCAAAGACGAAGAGAGAACACTGAAAGTAGCAAGAGAAAAGAAACACATAGCATTCAATGGAGCTCCAATATGTCTTTCAGCAGATTTCTCAGTAGAAACCGTACAGGCCAGAAGAGAATGGAATAGTACATTCGAAGTGCTGAAGGAAAAAGACTGTCAGTCAAGAATTCTGTATCTAGCAAAGCTAGCCTTCAAATATGAAGGAGAGATAAAGGCTTTCCTAGACACACAAAAGCTAAGGGAATCCATTAACACTAGATCTGCCTTACAAGAGATGCTAAAGAGAGCTCTTCAGTCTGAAAGAAGACAATGCTAAAGAGTAGCAAGAAAACATCTGAAGGTACATAACTTACCAGTAAGGTAAGTTCACAGACAAGCTCAGAATACTCCAGCGTTGTAAGAGTGGTGAACAGACCACTCACATCCTTAGTATAAAGACTAAAGGACAAACCTAACAAGGCAATAAAACATACCACAATCATATAAGAGATAGGCAATAGTAAAAGATGTAACTTGGAACAATAAAATATCAGAAAGGGAGGGACAACACAAAGAGCAGAATTGGCTTTGGTTTTTCCTTTTTTCTTTGGTGTGAATGTTAAGTTGTTATTAGCCTAAAATAACTAGCTATAACTGTAACATGTTTTTGGTAAGCCTCATGGTAACCATAACACAAAAGCTTACAAGACATGCTAAAAATAAATAGCAAGAAACAAAAATGTACAGCTAGAGAAAACCACTTGACCACAAAGGAAGACAGTAAGACTGGAAAATGGATGTACAAAACAACCAGAAAAAAAATGGCAGTAATGAATTCCTACATATCAATAATAACCCTAAATGTAAATCAATTAAATGCCCCAATTAAAAGACACAGAGTGGCTGAAAAGATTATAAAATAAGAACCAACAATATACTACCTACAAGAAACTCACTTCGCCTATAAAGACACACACCATCAGAAAGTGAAGGGATGGAAAAAGATATTTCATGCAAATGGAAACCAAAAAAGAGCAGGAGTAGCTATATGTACGTAAAACAGACCTCAAGCAAAGGAAAGTAAAAAAAAGATTAGAAAGGTCATGATATAATGATAAAGTGACCACTTCAACAAGAGGATGTAACAATTCTAAATCTACACATCCAAATCAGGAGCACCCAGTTATGTAAAGCTATTACCATTAAACCTAATGGGAGAGATGGACTCCCACATGATAACAGTTGGGGACTTTACTATCCCACTTTCAGCAAAGAACAAATCAGACAGATAGGAAATTAACCAGGAAACATCAGAATTAATCTCTACTATAGGCTGACTTGACCTAACAGACATTTATGGAACATTTCATCCAACAACTGCAGAATACACATTCTTTTCAGCAGCACACAGAACATTCTCTAGAATAGACCATATGTTAGGACACAAAAACATCTAGTCTAAGTGAATCAATGTGTAGTGTATGCATGTATTGTAACAACACTCTATACCCCACAAATATGTACCAGTAAATGTTAAAATATTTTGACTTAAAAAAAAGAATCATTTTGACAATATCTGGGACATAGCTCAATCAGTTACAATGGAATTTGAATTGCAGGTCAAATGTACATGCTCTGTATACAAATAAACATACAAGCACAAAGCAGAAAATTCAATCTTTGTTCCCTAAACTCTCCAAACAGGAAATGCTTCTTTTAAAATTTCTCATGAGCCACAAATATAGCAAAGAGACCAGGGGACTTCTCACCAGTGCTTATAGAGTGGAGCAAGGGAAGTGAAAGACCATAGCTAGGTCTATGGTGTGGTGGAAGAAAACACAGGTTAGGATTGAAAAAAAATAGAAGAACTCACTTTGGAAGATTGTTTCAGCTTTTGGGATACTCTTCACAATATTTCTTTTCATAGCTGGTAAGTCTGTCAGGCAATTTGGGTCAGGGATGAGCAATGTTGGGGTGAAGTGGGGTGAGCTTAGAGTTGTCACAAATGATATTGGGCAAGTTATTTCCCAACAGCTTTCTCATAGTAAAATGGAAACAATGTTCTGTAGCTCAGTGGGCTGGTGTTAAAGCAAGTGAATTAATAAATGTAAAAATACTACATGCTAGAGAATAGTAACTTATCACTATTAATTATTAAGGATTTGTTGCTCAGCATGTTTATTAATTATTGGTTGTCCTCATCCTTCATAAATACACCTGATCAGTTTGGCATAAGTTTGCACAAATTCTTTTTTTTTCCAAGAGGACATATTTGTATTTATCCCTGTTTAATAGAAAAACAATCAATCATTCATTTTAACCAATGAAGAAACTCAATTATAGTGAGATTAATGAACATTTGCTTTAAGTTATGTAGTGATTATGTAGAGATTTAATGAAAAAGTTTTTAGAATTCTATCTTAGTATTCTATGATACATGAGAAAAGAGTTCATGGAGAAATGAGAAAAATAAAACTAACATAGTAAAAGTTTTATGGAAATCTATACTGAGTTAAAGAAATCCCTTTTATTTTAAAATTATAGATTTCTTAAGTTTCTAATTTTTGGTGTTAAAACATCTTTTAAAAAAATTGCTGATGCAAGCCATTTTTAAGTGTCTTAACTTAAAAATGTTTCCATTTAAAAAATGTTCATTGGGGCCGGCCCGTGGCTCACTTGGGAGAGTGTGGTGCTGATAACACCAAGGCCACAGGTTTGGATACCTATATAGGGATGGCTGGTTTGCTCACTTGGAGAGCGTGGGGCTGACAACACCAAGTCAAGGGTTACGATCCCTTTACTGGTCATCTTTAAAAAAATAAAATAAAATAATGTTTATTAATCCATAACATTGCAACAGCTAAGACTCATTAATGTAGAAGAATACTATGTCAAATAAATGTCTTTAACACTTGGGTTTTTCTAGAGGATGTGCATAGCTTAGAGATACCCCCATTATTATTCAGTACTTTACATTTAGAGATTTCTCTGCCCATCTTTGTTTTAGTTTTTTATTATTTTATTTTATTTTATTTTACTTTGCTGCTAGTTTAGAGTTTTTCAGGTGTTAAATGAGATAAAGATGCATTGCAAAGGTTTTGAAGTGTCAAGTACGGGTCCTAGTTTTCAATTATCCTGACTGCAGAACAATAGGAATTCTAAAACCAAGAGAAAAAAGTAAAAGGACTTGGGCCAGCCCGGTGGCGCACTCGGTAGAGTGCGGCGCTTGGGAGTGTGGCGGCGCTCCCGCCGAGGGTTCAGATCCCATATAGAGACCGGTCTGCTCACTGGTTGAGTGTGGTGCGGGCGCGACACCGAGGGTTGCGATCCCGTTGCCGGTCGCGGTATGGGCGCGACACTGAGGGTTGCGATCCCGTTACCGGTCATGAAAAAAGACAAAAAGGAAAAAAAAAAAAAGTAAAAGGACTTGACAAACTAAGGAGGGAAACCAACACTCCATTTTAATTTATTTCATTCAATTTATTTCAACTATTTCTCTTTTGTCTCTAATTTCTTTCAGTCCTTATTCTTCTGGCATTACTTCACTTTATGTTCAAGAGAGAGTACAGTCTTTTATGTGTAGGATTTCCCTAAAAGATATTATACTGTTCTTTTCGATTGTTTGTGGTATAACAGTCTTTTTTCACTCTTTGCTTCCAGGAAGCATCTCTAGATTTGCATCTGACATGCACAGCAATTCATCCACATTCAAAAGTCCTGGAGTTCGGTATCCTGTTGTTCCAAATCTCCCTGCACTTGGTAACATGCATTTAGATAAAGCCATTGGCATTGGTAGCAGCTGGCAGTGCAGGAAAGGAATGTTGGTGTTCTATCTGGACAGTGCTTGCATTTCTCATCTCCTTTCCATGCCCTGTCCTAGCTTATTATCCTTCCCCTGGATAGTAGCAATAATCTTGTATCCCATCTCCCTATGCCTACTCTCTTTTTTGGAGTCATCTTCTACGACCAACCAATTCTTGTGAAATATCCCTCTGTTAAAAACACTTTCTTCTTCCAAACTCTTCAATAGCTCCCTAATTTTTCTGCCTTGAGAATAAAGTGCATATTACTTTTCATTGAATTCCAGGCCACTGTTACCCAACCTGTCTTTCCATACTCTCCTCCTGCTGTGCTCTTCTCATCCAATGTCACCCTATTGTTTTCCTGGACGCAGTCAGTACCTTTATATCTGTGTACTCATGCACAAAACAACTCTACTTTCAATTTCTCCACCTAAAAGATTCATCTGCTCAAAAGTCATCTTCTGTTTGATATCAGACAACCAAACCTAGGTCATTTATGTCCCACCAATGTGGGAGGGCACTGCTGCTTCTTTAGACAGAATGCTATTCAGGATAAGTCATGTTCTTATTAAATCATAGGATGTTAGTTATTGAGTAACGAGAAAATGTTTGACTCTTTCAGTTGAATGCTGTATTTATATGTACATTTACAAGTAAAGAATGGACACTAGTATTTATATTAGGTGGATATCTGCAGGATATTATTTAATATTTCTTTTTATGAATTAAATATGCTTTAGATAAAAAGTTGTTGCCAGAGAGCAACTTTGAAAGTGCCTTCTAAAATGACTGATATATGGAGATCTTTATCAATACTTTCTTTCTGTACCCAGTTAATACTTCACTGCTCTCTGTACAGTGGCTACAAAGGCTCTGTGGTGTTGCCCTCTGGCCCACTGACAACTGTGGTGATAACAACATGGGAAATAGTCTTCAGAGACAAACTTGCCTGCATCAAAGCCTACAGGAGAGATAGAAATGAGACAATCGAGATGAACTGCACTGAAAAGAGAATAACCTGGGCCTCCAGACCTGACCAGAACCTTGCCCTTCAAATCGATCCAGTGGCCACCACTCATGACAGATATTATGACTGTTCTCTTGTAACACCTGATGGGAATTTCCAACATGGCTATCACCTTCTTGTGTTAGGTAAAGCACATTTATTGGCAGAATGATCCATTTATACAGGACCAAGATTGAAAGGTAAAACTTGCTCAAGATTCTTGGAAGTGCACTTTGTCTATTACCCAGCTTTGTGAAATCCACACCACCTATCACAATGCTGCAAATATATTAATGATGATATGTATTGAGCACTTATTACATGTCAGATGCTTATCTAGGCATCCTACATGCATTAATTCATTTAATCCTCATAATAACTCTCAGAGGTATTAGTCTCCCCATTTTACAGAAAGGAAACAGCCACAGAGGGGCTAAGTTCCATATTTTATTATATCTAAGATGCAGATTTTTTCCTCCACATTTTAATACCTCCAAAATGGGATGCATATCAGTCAGCACCCCCGCAGGAAACAAACTGCACACCCTGAATAACTTGAGTAGAGACTATTAAAGGGATGCATGTTTTGTAAAGATATAGCCATTGCTTGGGGAAACCAGTAAGAAATAGTGAAGGTCCCTGGGGCTTGCCATCAGTGGAAGACATTCCACCTTTTTGCCTAAAGTTTCAAGATGAAGGAGCCTGGAGAAGGTGAGGTTTTTTTTTGTTTGTTTTTTGTTTGTTTGTTTGTTTTCTTGTACAGGACTGCCTATAGGACTATGGTTACAGTAGTAATGGATGATCCAATGGATCATCCTTTTGGGCACAGAGAAGGATGCAAAAAGTTGAGGAATGGATCTTGAGGGGCAAATGGAAGATATTCCAGCACAAGTTGCATTTTACAATAAATGACATGTTATAAAAATAGTTGTCAGAATTTTTATATTTCCTACTGTTATATAATCAACATGTTAAAAATTAATAATGTTCTATCATTTGATGAGGCACAGTAAATTGCTTAAGGTT